TGCTACTGTTATGAATCGTAATGTAAATATCTTTTTGTTTTCCGATGGTCTTAGGTGACCCCTGTGAAAGGGTCATTCGACCCCCAAAGGGGTCGCGACCCACAGGTTGAGAACCGCTGCTCTAGATGCAATTTTAAAAGAAAAAAAAAACCACCTCAGCGAAAATAAGAGATTTTCCTAAGATAGCCACAAAGCAAGATCAAAATCATTTATTGCTTATCTAAATTTTCACTTTTGATTTTGAGCTTTGACTATGTGTAGAAATAGCAAATAATTAACAAAAATTTAATTTTAATATTGAGTGTTGCTCTTAAAATGAATAAAGAATATCGACTATTCTTCATCAGTACCTCAGGGCAAAATACTTTAAAATTTTTTTAAAAATGAGATTAAAATTGACATATAACATTGTATTAGTTTAAGGTGTACCACATAATGGTTTGATATATGACATATTTTGAAATGATTATCACAGTAAGTTAACAACCATCACCACACACAATTTCAACTTTCTTCTTGTGATGAGAACTTTTAAGATCCACTCACTAAGCAACTTTGAAATATACAATCCAGTATTGTTAACTACAGTCCCCTCACTGTACATTAGATCTCCAGGATTTACACTCAAGCTGAGGATATAAGACCTCTATATGACCAGAAACACCTTTACGCACACAGAATTTAAATGTTTCGGACATGGCATGGCTTAGGAGCTATTGGTTAGGCAGAAATCCTAAGCTTACACCACTAAAGTTTGGATAGTTTATTGAATAAGTATTTAGTGCCTACCTGCTATGTACTAGACACCATTCAAAACATTGGCTATATCTTGGTGGAAAATCATAAGCTCTGTCCTTAAAGTTGGCAAAATACTCAATATTAAGTAGAGATAAAGCTTTAAGAGAACAGGCCAAAGAATTAATGAATGATATTTTGTGTGTATGTGCATGAGTGTGCAAGGCGTTGGCCAGCCCCTTGCACACACATGAGAAGCAGGGATAGTCCGCCCATAAGAACAGGATAGCAGGCTAACTAGAGTTTGGGCGAGTTCATTATGGGAAGATAAAGCAGGTCATTTCTGATTTTTTCGGTTTCTTCAGTGAAAACAGCAGCAAGGTCATCAGCTGAAAATGAGTGAGGATGCAGGTGGGTACTGGAGATTTGAAGAGAGAGAAATTTGAAGGTTTGAGATAGTCATCCATGAGAATGACGGTGGGAGAGAGAATGAATGAGAGATGTGTCATCAGTGCTTAGGGGCCTTTTTGATGTGTCAATTTTTGTGGTCCTCAATTATAATGGAGTGAGCTGATATGGTTATTTTTTTCTCCAGTCACATTCAGAGGTTAGGGGCAAAGTTCCATTGCTGAGTTCAATCAATATTGCTATTTTGCCAAGAAAGCAAGATGAGAGGGGAAGAACAATTGTGTTGAGGTATATATATGTGAGGATGCAATTACAATGGTGGACCATGGCAACTATGCTGGGAATGGGAGAAATGAAGACATTAGGAGAGTGAGAGAAAGAGAAAAAGTGATAGGGTCAATGGATGGTGGTCCGAGCAGAGTCAAAGAATTGTAGGCACGGTGGTTCTAGAGAGAGTGAGCTGCGGAGTCGGGTGTGGTGGACAGAGCACTTGAAATTGAGATGATTGAGGTGACACAGTTATTGGTATGACAAGTTCTAAAGTGTAATCTTGAAAGTGGCAGGCCAAGGTGGGGTGGAGGACGAGTTCTTCAGAATTGTCAAATTAAAGAAGAAAGAGTTCATGTTCTTCAATAGATTTTGAAAGAATCAAGAATGATGTATAGGTAGGAAAACAAAGAGTTACTAGGTGTGGCAAAGAGGTAAACAGATGACTGCAATTAGAAGAGGTGTAGGAGGTAAGAGTGGGCACCATCTTTGATGTCTGAGGAGGATGGTTATAGGAGATTGCCTAAGTATGACTCTCCGACAGAGTCTAAAGAGGGAATAAGTTTCTTTAACCAGAGCCTAAAAAAATCTTACTATTGTATTTCCTCTAGGCTGAATGAAAGTGAAAGTGAGCTGGGCTTTAAGACTAATTTTCTCAGAGCCCTCTTACCTCCAGATTCTCCCCAACATACCAATGCAGAAAAGCAAACCAGTAGTTCAATGGGTTTTAGACTATCCACAAATAGATAGTAGGACACCCGTTCATCTGAGAACTGCAAGAACAACCATGGAACTTAATATTATTCTGTAAATGCTGTATTCCCCACTTCTAATAATAATACAATACTTATCATTTTTAGAGAACTTACCGTGTTGTACACACCCCAATAAGTACTTCACAGGTTTTGTGATATGAAGAAAATTGTACCGGGTGAATGTTGGTAATAGTCTATGGAAGCTAGATCTGCAGGACCTGGGTGAGACTGGCCACCATATCAGAGAGAGGCAAAGCTCGTCTCCATGAGTAAAGAAAAGGGATGTGTGCTTGTCCCAGAAATGACAAAGAGAAGACGAGGCTAGGCCAAGGCTGAGCAGTGCTCAGAGTAGGGGTCCCTGATAGGTAGAGGGGCCACACAGTAACTTTGGCAGAGAATGGAAATATCAAATGGCGATGTATTTTACAGAGTAGTATGTGATATAAACCCTCTTATCCTTCTTTCTACAAGATCTTCAGAAATATTCCTATTGCATGCAAATGTACCAGACTGGGTTTTTGTTTTGGGGAAGAAAAAAAGTATTGAGGCAAACCAGAGCTTTCCTTAAAGAACAGCTATGTAAGGGGTTACATATACATAATCTCAATCCACCCTCTGTAGTTCTATTAATATTCATAATTATGGATAAAGAAACTGAAACACAGAGGGTAATTTTCAAGAGGTCACAGAGCTCGCAAGCAGCAAAGCCAAGATTCAAAAGTAAGTCTTTTTCTATCTACTTGACTCCAAGGCTGGTATCCTCGACTCTTGCACTATTATTGCCTTCAGATTCCCAGGGCTTCAACATCATTTCGACTGATGGCATACGGTAAATGTGTTCAATTACTTTAACTGCCATTACACGTTAAAAGCTTTTCATATTATTTTACCACAATATTTAAATAACCAGTTAGAATACGAAAGAAAAGTCTCTAGTGATACTGTGAAAAAGGAAACCATGTTATTTAATCAGATATGACAAGATTGCTGGAAATGCTTGATAGAATGTAACAGTGGCTTAAATGATTGCTTCCCACAGTATTTTGCGATACTTAGCATTTGACAACTTACCCTCCATTGTTTCCCTTTAGTTGCAACGTGTGGGTAATAGAGAGCGTTCTTTCTAATATTCACTGTCTAAATCTATGAAGGACCCCTGGATCCTGCCTGACCAGGATTTTCTGAGCAGAGCTCATTTGCTGTCGTTTTTGAGTCTGAGAATTTGGGACTGGGGTGGCCCTGGGGGTCACATGGAGGGACTCTGCCCTGGTGCCAACACAGGCAGCTTTGAGAACCCCCTGCCCCAGTCCACACTGAGCACCAAGGAACCTTCGAAGGAAGGTGCAGAGGCGAGGCCTCAGGCATCAAGACTCCAGTCCACTCGTGCGTGAGGCGAGCGGAGCCGGAGACGAGACCAGAGGCCGAACTTGGTATCTGACAAGATGGCCGGGCTGCCCCGCAGGATTATCAAGGAAACTCAGCGTTTGCTGGCAGAACCAGTTCCCGGCATCAAAGCAGAACCAGACGAGAGCAACGCCCGTTATTTTCATGTGGTCATTGCTGGCCCCCAGGATTCCCCCTTTGAGGGAGGGANCAACGAAAATAATTTTATGGTTGGGGGTCACCACAACATGAGGAACTGTATTAAGGGGTCGCGGCATTAGGAAGGTTGAGAACCGCTGCTCTAAAGCATGACAACCCTCAAGAGAGCACATAATCTTAACTATCCTGTAATCCAATCCCCGCCTTGCTTTCTCCCACCTTCATGTAATCTTCCTAACTTTCCTCCTTAATTTCAAATGCATAAAATAATCTGCAACTGTTATTCTCCAGAGCATTTGAGATGTTGCTTCCTGGCAATTGTCATCAGTTTAGCTCAAATACTCATAAAAATTCTCTACAGGTTTTGACATTTCTTAGGAAGACACTAACTATAATAATTCATGGTGGTACAGGGCTTTGTAGATTTCATAGTCATTTTCTCACAAATGCATAATTTCATGTATGTTAATTGTGTTTCTCCTACCAGGTTTTGATGTCATTGAAAGCAGGGACATTCACTTACTCTCAGTTACTGAGCACTTAGAGCATGTTTAAAATGTATGTGTTAATAGGTTAGGCCCAGTGGAGGAAAACATGAATATAAGAAGATTCTTTACTAGTTCTCTGATCTTGGTTGTCTCAATGAATGAGCATTCAGACAAAATAAAGATTTCAGAGAAAATTTCTCTATGATAGGGTTTTTAGGGCAGATGTGAGAAATATTGAACATTGTATATTGGACACTTTCTATACATTATTTCAGTATTTGACTTTGTTACTTACACTTTCCTTTTTCTGCAAAAGCCATAGTGTTTCATTGATTTTGTTATCAATGAATTAGCCTGATTGATCTTGGGAAACCAATAAAACTACTGGATCTGAAACGTGACATACTATTTTGAATTTTATGTATCAAAATCAGGGAAACTTGTTGATTATACATATTTTCTTTAAAATGGAAAATGTGATGCATTATCTTAATTAAAAACAAAACTATAAGTAAAATTAAAAACAAACCACAGGTATTAAATACATATATGTATTTATGGTCATGGGATGTAAAGTACAGCATAGGGAATACAAATGGTATTATAACAGCTATGTATGATGTCAGATGGATAGTTGACTTGTTGGAGTTATCAAATTGTGATGTGTATAAATGTCTAATAATTATGTTGTTTTGTACACCTGAAACGAATAATAAAAAAAATTAAAAATACAGATAAAACCATAAATTGGTAGGGGAAATGTAATGTTTTTCAATCTGTTTTAAATAAAATTGAGTTTCTTTTTATAGTAATATAATAAAATTTATAAAAAAAACAAATAGGATTCTTTAATATATGAATTTTAGGAAATGCTGGTTCACTAATTTAAACCATATTCTTTACTAAAGAAATTACCAGACTCTCACAATTATGAATCTTCCAAAAGGGGATTCAATGTACAGCATTTTTTTCAATGTGTTTATTCATGAAATTATTTTTCTCAAGAATCATAATGATAGACCTATTCCTCATGAAATCACTTCAGGAAGCAATATCGTACATTGCATTTGTTTAATTATTTAGTAATCAACTGTTCACAAGTGTTTAAAAAGCTCTTAGTATGGGAAAAATAAAGTCATTCCATACCCAACTGGCAGGCGAACCATAGTAGCCTTGGTAGCATATGTATGAATTTTCAGAACCAGATCACGTGGCTTCAGAGCTTTCAAAGAAAGTGTTTCAACTGTAAGTAGTCCAGGCTCTATGGGGGGGCTATCCTTTGTTAAAGCTAGGGAGAGGAAAAAATATTAAAATTTTATTATGAGAGTATAGCTGGCCTTCATTTTACAACATTAATAATAATAATAATAATAATAATAATAATAATGAGAAGGAGCAGGAGGAAGAGAGAAGGTGAAGGAGAAGAAAAAGGAGAAAAATTAGAGATATAAAAATGTTCATAAACCTTTAGAAGTTACTGAGTAAATAATTATTGGATATAATATTCAAGTGGAACCCCGATCTTCCCCCCCCACCCCGTCCTATTTTCCTCCTCATCATTACCCCCTCATGTGAAGAAAACAGGAATGGAAAAGTTAGAAAAAGGAGAGCAGATAAGGATATTTCATTGTAGTATACTATCACATTTATTATCTATGGCAGTAACTACTGTATTTGTATCCCTCTAGATCAGCGGTTCTCAACCTTCCTAATGCCGCGACCCCTTAATACAG